TCTCTTTACCCCATAGTTCTGTCATTTGATTCATGTTCTCTCCCTCTCTCAATCGCAGCGGAAGCCGGTCGAGCAAGACCTTCAAGCCCAAGAAGCACATCCCAGAGGGCACGCACCAGTATGACCTAATGAAACATGCGGCGGCCACACTGGGCTCTGGCAACCTGCGTGCAGCTGTCATGCTGCCCGAGGGGGAGGACCTCAATGAATGGGTGGCTGTCAACAGTAAGTGCCTACCTGTCTAGTGGTGTAGTATATCTGCAATTTTATGTATTTTTGCTGTTTAGTTTTTGCCATTCTGCATTTCCTAGTTTTTATGTTTTGAATTTATTTTTCGCTGTTTATCCCTCCCAAAACCTAGCCCGTTGTCGTAGTGGGAGGGCTTAGGAGACAGGGACTGAGACCCAATGTAGAGGATTACCCCTACCATGGGCTTCAGCCCTTGCCTCAACTAATTTTGCTTGGTCCTTTCTTCTCTTCTTTCCTGTTCCATATCTTCTTTATTCCCTTCTTCTATCCCATTTCTAAAGTGTGAGAGCCGTGATGAAAGGATGAAAAGCTAGCTTTGTGTCAGTCACAAACGGCCTCCGGGAGACATGGGCACGGTATTCCCTTGATTGATTACCTAGCCCTTACCCTTTATGGGGACCCTGAGGGGTAGACCATTTCTTTTCCCGAGTTTATCCAGACTCACCATGGCCAGTAATGAAGATTCTTTACCCTTAATAGAGGCATTAAGGCTTGCCCCTTCATCAAATAGCCTATCTGAATTTGATTTTGATGGTTTTTCGACCCCTGCCCCTCCTTTGACCATGGCTCCGACCACTGCTGCTAATACACCCTCTTTGATGCTTATAAACAACCATTCTGAAACACCCATCTATGTTATTACTCAACACCAAGAAAGCACCTCTTCCTTATCCCCATCATTCTCCTCTTCAACTCCTGTTGCACAAACCTCTTCAATGTCAACCCTCTCTTCCCTTATTACTTCTCTTCATCCATATTGTCCTACTCCCCGCAGAACTACTCCACTCCACACCACCCCATCTTCCTCTCGCCCTCATCCTTCTACTTCCTCTACCTCTGCAAACCTTCTGGGTACTCTATTTGGCCCAGCCATGTGGGATTGATTCTTTGTGATTCCCCCCCACAGCCCCCTATTCTGAGAATACCCTTCTCTTTCAGCAGTGCCTCCAGGAACAAGTAGGCAAGGCTACCTTTTGCATTCACTCTGATCATTCACGCCTTGTCACAATTACATCTGAAGCCCAAGCTCGTGCACTATCTACCCTAACTGACCTTACTGGCAAACCCATTCCTGCTGAACCTCACTCAGCTCTTAACACTTGTACTGGAACTTTTTCTATTCCCCCAAATGCTTGTCCCATGTATAACAAGGACTGGTCAGACTGTAAAAATTACCTACTTTCTTGCCTTGATGAATATGATGCAGTGGCAGTACAGTGTTACACTCTTCCTCCCAGAGGCCAACATAAATCCCAAGTCAATATTGCCAAGATTAGCTTCCATCGACAAGACCCCCCCCCATAAGGATTGTCTTATCATGTCTGACAGTATCGACCCCTTCCTCGTCAATGTCAGAAATGTTGGCGTTTTGGCCACCAAGCCAAACATTGTCGCTCCACAGCCCGCTGCCCTCTGTGTGCCCAACCTGATCATGACCGTTCAAATTGCCCTGCTCAGTCATGTACATGTGCCAATTGTGGAGACTCCTATAATGTGTTTTATAGGAGCCATCCTGCCTATAAGTTTGAATGTGAGGTAGCAGTCCTCAGATTTAAACTAGGCCTCACTCTACGTGAGGCCAGACAGGAAGCACAACGAAAAGGTTTTTCTCTCTCAACTTATTCCAAAACAATCCTACGCTCTGCTCCCCCACCATCTACACAAGATGTTTCTGCATCTCCCCAGTTATCTTTCCCCTGTACCCAAAACCTACGTCCTGTGTCTGCTCACCCTATCCACCAGTCAAATCCAGTTTCCATCCTAAATCTAGATACTCCAATCTCTACCACTTCCATGATACTTACCCCTCCTCCTCACTTTAGTTGTCATACCAGGCAATCTGTTCCACTCCAAGCTCTCCTATTATTCTCTCCTACACCTTCCTCTTCATTTGTTTTCAGACATCTGTCTCCTCTTCTCCTCTTTATTAGAGAACCTTTGTTTCTCAGTCCACTATACCTAATTCCCCTCCAGAGACCCTTGAAGACATCCAAAACTTCCTAAAGATGACCCAAGGGAACACTCAGCTCCCTCATCCACCACCCAACCCCTCTGTTCCTACTCCTGCTACATTTGAAGTATTTGCAGATATTCATCCTTGTCCTCCATACCCCACCCTCTCTACCACTTCCACTTGAATACTCACATGAATCCTTTCTATCACAATAGTTTTCTTCTGCAGACCCCTCCTCTCCAGACATTTTTCCTGATGCTTTACCACCTTCCCCAGTCTCCCTTTCTCAACCCCTGGATCCTTCTCCTCCTCCTCCCTTTTCATTACCATACTTTCCTGTAACACCCTCTCACCTTTGATATCTAACACCTTCCCCTCTCCTCGGATTCTTCTCTTACTCTTCAACAGCTATCTCTCTTCTTCCTTGAACATTTTTCCTATACCTTCCCCAGTGACAGATACACTATAATTCACAAAATTGCTCTCTATACTAATTTCTGCTCTAGTGCACTTGTTCCCCTATTCCCCTTTTCACTACCATACTATCCTATAACACTTTTAAATCTTTGACATCTAACACATTTTATTTTAATCTTTAACTCTCCTTTGCCCTTTCAGATGCAATACTTTACCATAGTGCTACATGACCTTTGATGTCTAGCACATTTATTTTCAAACATTAAAACATTTCCCAGTATATTATGGTGTTTGAATTATTGTCTGCAATTTTTTATTTTGGAAAATATTGTTTCTAGGTACAAATACAAAAAGCCTTTTTGTTTTTGTATGTGTCTCTAATGTTTGCTGTCTTTTAATTATTGTTATCAATACTCCCATTGCTAAAATTTTACATTTGTATGGTTTATACTATAAGTTTCTGTGATGATTATAGGAATAATTAGGAGAGTCAGTTATGTATATCATAGTATTCTTATTCCATATATTCTTTCTTTTCCTCATGGTTATCACTGATTTTACTTTATCCATTTCAGCCGTAGACTTCTTCAATCAGATCAACATGCTGTATGGAACTATAACGGAGATGTGTACTGAGGAGTCGTGTCCGGTCATGTCTGCAGGTCCAAAGTATGAGTACCATTGGGCAGATGGTCAGACTGTCAAGAAACCCATCAAGTGTTCAGCACCCAAATACATAGATTACCTCATGACATGGGTACAAGACCAGCTTGATGATGAAGCTCTTTTCCCCTCAAAGATAGGTAAGGTTTTATGAGTTGAGGCTCAATTTCAATTTTGCACTTGCCCTTTTGGGTCAGAAAAACTTCTAGACTCCAAATTTTTACTTGGTAGAACTGATGATAATTCTGTTTTTGAAAAATCTATTGGAAATTGTTTAGATTATGGAGTGTTTATACTCACAAGGTATGTATGGTACATTAATGTTTTTCTTTTATTCTATGTGCAAGAATCATTACTGTAAATATAACCACCAGCTATATATAGCAGTGGCTAAGTTTAGCTGTGATTATAAGCATATCTGAGAGAGCCATTTATCATAATGACAGTGGTGATGATACAATACATTTGAAAGAGGGAGAAGGTTTTTCAGGTCTACAAATTGAAATCTAAGTTATAAAACCTAAATCACTAACACTTTTCAGTATCCTGTGCAAATATGGGTAATTTAGTTTGCCTTGTGTTCTCCCTCTAGTTCACCTAAATAGAGATCACTTATCATTCAAGGGCTAAGAGGGATTCCAATTTTGTAGAAGTGGCATATATATGTCCAGCCTGTAACCCCCTCCTGCATTTTACAGGTGTTCCATTTCCAAAGAACTTCCCAAGTAATGCCAAGACAATACTGAAACGGCTCTTCAGGGTGTATGCACACATCTACCACCAACACTTCAGTGAAGTGGTACAGCTTGGGGAGGAAGCACATCTTAATACATCCTTCAAGCATTTCATATTCTTTGTCCAAGTAGGTTCTCGTTATATTTTTTCTTTGTCTTTTGCCATGTCCCTCTCCATGTCCTGTGAAAGAGCCACTCATATGAGTACATTTTACATTTTTCCTTTCTTCATTTTCTGCCCTTCATTGTAGACTGATAGGACACTATCTGTTGCAAACATATGGCCTGAAATCCAGGCATTAGGCTTATTTGAGTGGCCATTCTAATGGTGTGTGGCTTATCGGCCATGTGCGCAGAAACACTCATGTGTTGGCAAGACCACCACTATTTTCCAATGTTTATGTATGTCATTTGTTATGCTATATCCTAATGTTAATAGACTGTTTTCCTTTCACAGACTACATATCTTCACTCTAGGTAGTCCATAATTCAGTGCAATAACAATAACAATTAGTAACATTTTGTAAGATTTTTCTTTCCTGCCAGACTGGGCAGGCAAGGAAAGAATCCTAAGCATGGAAATAGTGTCTCTCTATAGCCAGTGCTCCTCCAGTCATAGCAAATTAATGGTACATTCTGCACTCGTTTATTGATGGAAATAATGCATTAGCCACTCATGCAAATGGAAATGCATTGCAAATTAATGGTACATTCTGCACTCGTTTATTGATGGAAATAATGCATTAGCCCCTTCCTAAATGCCCATTGAGTCTGATCAACCTCCAAGAGCTTTGTGCACTTCTGGTGATTCATTCCCACCATTCTAGCTGTCAGCTAAGTTTCTGTGAGCTCATTGTTCATGTCACCAGCCCCCTCAAGCCAAATTTTTACATTACATGATGGTCACATCATTTGGATTGTAGAGGTTAAAAATATAAACAACAATAATAATCCCCTTTTGGAAGTAATTTTTTTTGAGGGATCTGGTTTTGTCATGGAAATCACAGTGCTGAAAATATGGGCAATGGGTTTCTGTGGTCATTTTGTCTGATGACAGCATAATCATGTCACCTGGCCCTCGACCTAGATTTTTCCTTGACAGGACTGTAACGTTAAACACCCGGATCGTAGGTGTTAATTAAACAGGTATTGGCAAATAAAAGGAAATATATGTGAATGGCTGGCAATTTTCTCCCATTTTCTTATAAGCTGATGTAATCTACAGAACAGCCAGTGGATGCAGATTTGATGGACAGGAAAGTTGGAAAGTCAAGTGAGCAAAAACTGAAGGGACTGTTTAGCTCTTTTCCTTTTTTTCCATTTCCTCACATGATTCAAAGTCTCAGATTTTACTGTTGTGCTACCAAAAGTAATTATTCTACACAAATGAAGTTTAACATCATTAATATGACAAAAGAGACGAGTAGAAAGTGTCCTATTGGGTTCAGCATTTCGTCTTTAATAATGTCCACTTCCCAGTCTTGCTGGTCCTTGTCTTTAGATATGTCCTTTTCCTTCTTTTCTTAGTCTTTTCCTTTCTCTATATGAGCTTAATATTATATTTTCCCTCCTCCTCCTGTTCCTCCTATTTCTCTTCCTCCTCTTCCTCCACCTCCTCCACCTCTCCCTCCTCCTCCTCCTCCTCCTCCTCCTCCTCCTCCTCCTCCTCCTCCTCCTCCTCCTCCTCCTCTCCTCCTCTCCTCCTCCTCCTCCTCCTCCTCCTCCTCCTCTCTCTCCTCCTCTCCTCCTCCTCTCCTCTCCTCCTCTCTCCTCTCCTCCTCTTCCTCCTCCTTCTCCTTCTCCTTCTCCTTCTCCTTCTCCTTCTCCTTCTCCTTCTCCTTCTCCTTCTCCTTCTCCTTCTCCTAAACTTAAACTTAAACTTAAACTTAACTTTCTCCTTCTTCTCCTTCTCCTTCTCCTTATTCTCTTTTCTTTCTCTTTCTCTTTTTCTTTCCCTTTTCCTTTTTCCTTCAAATTTTGATTCTGATTCTAATTCTAATTCTAATTCTAATTCTAATTCTAATTCTAATTCTAATTCTAATTCTAATTCCAATTCCAATTCTAATTCCAATTCCAATTCCAATTCCAATTCCAATTCAATTCTAATTCTAATTTCTAATTCTTCTCCTTCTCCTTCTTCTCCTTCTTTCTTCTTTCTTCTTCTTCTTCTTCTTCTTCTTCTTCTTCTTCTTCTTCTTCTTCTTCTTCTTCTTCTTCTTCTTCTTCTTCTTCTTCTTCTTCTCCTTTCTTCTCCTTCTTCTCCTTTTCTCCTTTTTCTCCTTTTTCTCTTTTCTCCTTCTCCTTCTCCTTCTCCTTCTCCTTCTCCTTCTCCTTCTCCTTCTCCTTCTCCTTCTCTCTCTTTCTTCTCCTTCTCCTTCTCCTTCTCCTTCTCCTTCTCCTTCTCCTTCTCCTTCTCCTTCTCCTTCTCCTTCTCCTTCTCCTTCTCCTTCTCCTTCTCTCCTTCTCCTTCTCCTTCTCCTTCTTCTCCTTCTCCTTCTCCTTCTCCTTCTCCTTCTCCTCTCTTCTCCTTCTCCTTCTCCTTTCTCCTTCTCCTTCTCCTTCTCCTTTCTCCTTCTCCTTCTCCTTCTCCTTCTCCTCTCTCCTTCTCCTTCTCCTTCCTTCTCCTTCTCCTCTCTCTCCTTCTCCTTCTCCTTCCTTCTTTCTCCTTCTCCTTCTCCTTCTCCTTCTCTCCTTCTCCTTCTTCTCCTTCTCCTTCTCCTTCTTCCTTCTCCTTCTCTCTCTCCTTTCTCCTTCTCCTTCTCCTTCTCCTTCTCCTCTCTTCTCCTTCTCCTTCTCCTTCTCTCTCCTTCTCCTTCTCCTTCTCCTTCTCCTCTCTCTTTTTTTCTCCTCCTTCTTCTCCTTCTTCTCCTTCTCCTCCTCTCCTCCTCCCTTTCCTCCTCCTTCTCCTCCTCTCCTCCTCCTCCTCCTCCTCCTCCTCCTCCCTCCTCCTCCTCCCTCCTCCTCCTTCCTCCTCCTCCTCCTTCTCCTTCTCCTCTCCTCTCCTCCTTTCTTCCTCCTCCTCCTTCTCCTTCTCCTCCTCCTTTCTCCTTCTCCTTCTCCTTCCCCTTCCCCTTCCCCTTCTCCTTCTCTTCTTCTTCTTCTTCTTTTCTTCTTCTTCTTCTTCTTCTTCTTCTTCTTCTTCTTCTTCTTCTTCTTCTTCTTCTTCTTCTTCTTCTTCTTCTTCTTCTTCTTCTCCTCCTCCTCCTCCTCCTCCTCCTCCTCCTCCTCCTCCTCCTCCTCCTCCTCCTCCTCCTCCTCCTCCTCCTCCTCCTCCTCCTCCTCTCCTCTCCTCCTCCTCTTCTCCTCCTCCTCCTCCTCTCCCCTCCTCCCTCCTCCTCCTCCTCCTCCTCCTCCTCCTCCTCCTCCTCCCTCCTCCTCCTCCTCCTCCTCCTCCTCCTCCTCCTCCTCCTCCTCCATCACCAGCAGCACCATCACCACCTCCTCCATCTTTTCCACCTTTTCCACCATTTCCACCTCCTCCACCATTTCCACCTCCACCTCCTCCACCTCCTCCACCTCTTCCTCCATCCTTCTTTTTGCCTGTCTTGTAATCCTCTCCTCATGCCCATTCCCCTACTCACACCCCCTCCTGTTCCCCTTTGTCCATTCCTCCCTTCCCCTTCTTCTGTACATCACTTCCCAACCTCTTCCCCCTCCTCTCACCCTCCTCCCTTCTCCCCTCTTCTCCCTCTTCATTTTATTCGGGCATGGAACTGGTTCAGAAAAAAAATTATTAAGAAACTCTCTGTTAGATTTGTTATATTGATTCCTTTACTTCCAAATGCCTTGTATTTTATATCTGTTATCATATTTTATTCATTTTTGGTTTCCCAATTTCAGGAGTTCCAGTTGATAGAACGGAAAGAACTGGCCCCCCTGCAGGAGCTGATTGACAAACTAGCGGCCAAGGACCGATGATTTAACCTGTAAAATGTATAAAAAAGGACTTCCAGGGAAGTGAATAAGGCGGTAGGAATGAGGGTCTGTATTCCGCTGCTGTTGTCTCAGATTGAAGCTGGATTTGCTCTCTTACATGGTCATCTTATCTAACTGAAGAAGTCAAATATATAAGCAGTGTAAGGTTTGAGTATTTCACTACTGTATTTATTGGAAGAGCCCCATCCATGATATTTCACTTTATAGGAAAAAAAGGGGGAAGAGCTTAGACTGTGTGGGGCAGTTGAGGGTGGTTGTGGGGAGGTGGGGAACTTGGTGGTACAAAGGGGTACTGGGGCAAAATTATGTTGGAAGAGGATGTAGAGGAGACTCACCAAACTGGCTTTGGAGTGAGAGTGGCATTTTAGGTACATTTGAGAATTTCCAGTAAAATAAGAATAGTTAGATTTTTTTTTCCTTTTTTCCTTTTTTTAGATAGAAAGATGATAGAATGTAACAGATCCAGATCCAGACAGAGGAAAATTATGGTATTTTGTTCTGAAATGGTAGAAAAGTTATTTCTGGTTTCAAAAGAAGAGGCATATAGTATGTTGGGGGAAGTAAATAGATACAAAAGAGATGCCTTATGTTTCATGCTTCAGGTCTGCTTGTTGTACTTATTAAGGCTAGAATGTTGTTTGCAATAGAAAGGTTTCTGTTGGTCATTTTGAGCAAGGACATGATGGTCAAATTATCTTAATGAGCCTTTTGATTTTTGATTGTATTTATATTTCTTTGTTAAGAGGGAGAGGTTAAATCATGTGCTGAATTGAACTAACATAAATTTGATTTATATTGTACTGAGAACAGTAGACACTGAAATAAAGTTCTTTTCAGCTTGAAAAAGTGTATTGAGATGATATTGTTGTGATTATTATTATGAGGATTTGATTATAATTTTTGTTCATGTGATTTTGGTAATGATGATGATAATGAGGATGATAATTATGATAACAGTGATTATGATTCAAGATTGCAAATAATCAAACTTTTATTTACAACATCTCCAGTATATGTATTCTTAGTAGATAAGATTCAGTACATCCCTTGTGCAATTTTATATAACTTTTCTTTATTGATGGATTGGCATTAAGTCCATGTTACTGTAATAGGTGAAGTTCAGTGACAGGGAGATGTTATTGTGGATATAAACTTTTGAGAAAAAGATAGCAATATGATTTTGGAAACTTTCAAAATTGGAAATTTGCCATTGAAAATTTCTTTCTAAAACTTCTTTCACCCCCTCATTTTTTTCTTACTGGAAGGAAAGATGGAACTCTTTCTCAGTTGACATTCCCAAGAGGCCATAAGGAAACCCCCTGAAAATATCTTATTATACAAAGAATAAGGGAGGGGAAGAAAACAAAAAGATGACAATGCCACATGTAGTTTAGTTAATCAAAGCAGGATGAGGAAATGAACCTATGGAGAGAATTGCTTCATGAAGTCAGGTTATGCTGTGGTAGACTTGTCAATAAGCTTATGTTGTTGCTGGTTGTTGACTGACTGTGGCAAAAATGTCATCCTTAAGTTGGCTGATGATGATAGCTAAGATATGCAGTTTATTTCAATATTAAAAGGGAGGAAAGCACCAGTCATATTATTTTTATTGCTGTGGATTGAACATACACATACTGCACTTTTTTGAGTTATAAAAGCGGTTGGCAGCTTTGAATCTTCAAATTTGTGAACTAAGTTTTGAATTGTCTTCTCATAATCATTTTGAGATGCTCTGTTTCTTTTCCATTTTTTGTTGAAATGAGTTTGAAAATAATGCCCATTATGAAATTTTATACTCTTTGAAAGGCTGTTGTTTATCTCAGAATCAAAAACACCATGTACTTTCCCCACCAACTGCGCTAATTCTGATAAGCATTTAAGACAGCCTTTTCATTTATGCGATCTAGTAAACATTTAGCAAGCTTTAACTTGTTTGTATTAGGCAATATGTTGTAGTTGTTATTAATCATTTGTTACTAGATGAGAGTAGGGTTTGTGGTATGCTAACAATATGAATTAGCAAATCTCTTGATAAGTAGGAAAAGGA